TACTTAAACAAATACAATGAAAACCTAATATAACACATTTAGAATTTTATTAAAGAAGAGATTCCTTAAAAAACATTGGAAACAAAATCACGAATAATGTTCAACGAGTGGAGCGATTGAACGAAATTTCTAGGATTTACCTAAAAAAGAATGCTATACGATCGTTTTGTCGACGCATGCACTATGTGCGTTCTGTACTAAAAACAAATAGAAATTTGATGGACAGATGAATTAGTCTAAATTCTAATTTTGACGTCGTCTAAAAAAAAAACACTGGAGCATAAATTTGAAACAGACCCTTTTTCTATCTTGTCATTGTTTGAACTCTGAAATTTTTTAATAATGGTATTAAATCCTAGTTTGAAATTTCAGTAAAAAATAGGGGCCATTATATTTATACCCTTTTGATTCTACAGCAAAAATCACACTGATCATGTACTGTAATTGATAATACACATATGTCTCTACTTTCGAAGACAATTTCAATAAAGTATACCACTACCCTCTGTAGATTTGATAAATAAAAATATCCAGATCTTTTTGTTATCACAATGTACGAATAAAATTGAGAATGGAAATGGGGAATATGTCAAAGAGACAACAACCCGACCAAAGAGCAGACAACAGCCGAAGGCCACCAATGGGTCTTCAATGCAGCGAGAAAATTCCGCACCCGGAGGTGGTCCTCAGCTGGCCCCTAAATAAAATTGTGTGCTAGTTCAGTGAAAATGGACGTCACACTTAACTCCAAAACACACAAATAAACTAAAATTAAAAAAAACATACAAGACTAACAAAGGCCAGAGGCTCCTGACTTGGGACATGCGCAAAAATGCGGCGGGGTTAAACATGTTTTGTGAGATCTCAACCCTCCCCTATACCTCTAGTCAATGTAGAAAAAAGAAACACATAGCAATACGCACAGTAAAACTCAGTTTAAAAGAAGTCCGAGTCCGATGTCAGAATAGGAAAAAAAGAAACTAAGCAAAACGACAATGATACATAAATGAACAAAGGACTACTAGCAGTTACTGACATGCCAGCTCCAAACCTCAATTAAACTGATTGAAAGATTATGTCTTCAGAAGAATGCTTAAATAATATAGATAGGTACATGTACGAAAACACATTTTTGGACAGATAAGAATTTTCCGTTAATTTGTTAGATATTCTTTACAGATATTGAATAATTAATACACCACGGATACTTATAGATAGAAATGCTTTACACCTCATAATTTGTTGAAACCCAAACTATCTAATAAAATGTTGAAAATATCATTCATAATAGATCTAATAAAATTGAGAATAGAAACGGGGAATGCGTCAAAGAGACAACAACCCGACCAAAGAGCAGAAAACAGCCCAAGGCCACCAATGGTCTACACCACAGCAAGAAAATTCCGCTCCCGGAGGCGGGTTTCAGTTGGCCCCTAAACAATAATGTATACTAGTTCAGCAAAGATGGACGTCACACTAAACTCCGAAACGTATAAATGAACCAAAGACTAACAAAGGCCGGAGGTTCCTGACTTGGGACAGACGCAAATAAAGCGGCGGGATTAAACATGTTTTGTGACATCTCAAACCCCCCTATACCTCTAACTAAACACATATGGGAGCAAGAAAAAAGATGTCAAACTGTATTTCATATTTCTTGGGGGTGAATGCTTGCATGCATTTGAGAGATTTTCTGTTCTTTCCGTATACAATTCTCCTAATTTTTCTCTGTATTGTGATTTTTCTTTCAAAATTTTGTTATTACAAGATATTTTATTCTTAAGATAAAATCACACTTTGTCCAAGTACTTTCTTATAATTGAAAACATTTGAAAGGTTCTAGAACGCACTTATGCACTAAGCCAGTGAAATATTTTAACGAATTAAATAAATAAAGTAGATAAATTCAACGAAATTAAACTCAATTAAGTTCACAGAAATAGTTGTATTTTTTAGGATTGGCGAAGAATGAAAACGTGATACATGCATACAATTTATTGTTTGCAGTGGTTTTTTTTTTAATGAACTGGGTAACATGTTCGTGTGAATGAGAGAAAAAAATGCTGATCAGATGTTAATCGGACATGACCAGTTCATTTCTTTTGATATTCCCTTACAACAAGTATTTAATCATGTATTATTGTATTTAATACGCTAGTTCATTGTTCTAACTGTTATCCTAAAGTAATTGTTTTTTTCTGATAAGTAAATCAAATCTGTTTTACGGATTACGTCGCCAGCATCTGTTACTACATTGTACATTTAGTTCATATTTGAGTATAAAAGCTATTTTTTCAGTCTGTACCCCCAACTTCGACGGACCAACATGGCGCACTTTTCCGCCATTTTAGCGGTGCTTACTGTACTTATAAACAGTAGTCTCGCCAAACCAAGTAAGTCTCGTTGTATATTTTAAAATTTATGACACCAAATCTGGAGTAGGCAAATATACTATTAAAATATGTTCATTGTAAGGTATTTTGTTCCTGAACTTTACGATCTATTAAATTTTAAAAGTTCTGTTTAAACTTAAACATTAAAAATGTATTCTAAATTATGAAGGAAATAAGTAATGGACAGCAAATAAATGGAATAATCGAACAATACTAGTATATGTGTTTTTTGGAAATATTTTCCACAAAAGTTTATCAATATAAGATGTCATAGCTTTTTTAAAAATTGTTAGGAAGGATTAAAATTACACATTGAGATTGTATTTTAAGAACAAAAACTGATAAAATACGAAAAAAAAAAAATTATTGAGTGTAGAATAGAAAGCTTCAGTCGAATCCTTCATAACATAATTATCTCATGGAAAATGGAAAATATCTCATAAAAGTTGCGACAACGCGTTTGCCATAATCCTAAGACTTTTGCAATGATGTTTGTGTCGGCAATACGTTTTAGAATATAATGAAAATGTATCATTATCTTAGTGGCTACATATTTAAGATATTGATACTTTTGCGTTTAATACAAAACTATTAAGGAATATAAATATCGTGAACTTTACGTTTTACAGTAAATTGGTTTTCCGTTCAATTTTCATTATTTTCTTTTTTACGGAAAATTATTTTATCATTGTAAATTCTTTTTACATATATTAAACATTATATATATATATATATTTGAATTGACCAAAAATCTTCTTTTTTCAGCACAACATTCGTCCTGGGCGTCATGGTCAAGTAAGTGTCTTATGTTGTTCTACTCAACACAGGTTAATTTTCCAATAGCCTGCAACAGACCTTTACAAAAGTGAATTAAGCCAAATGGTCATAAACCATCCTTTTTTTCAGATGTTTTCACCAAAAATGTAGAAAAGGGAAGTAATTAGTCAAGTTTGAAGTAAAAATAATACAACGAGGTATATGAAGACAATAGAAAATGCATCGTCCTGCAATATAAATTGGGATTGTGTTTACACTTTGTTATGTGTTTTTTTTGGTAACAAATTAACATATACTTAGAATTACGCTCGTCTTTTTCAGGTTGGTCGTCTGGCGGAAAAACATATAGTAAGTTGACTATACCATATCATTTGTGACTTTTTAAGTAATTGTTTCAGATTATTTCTATAGAAACGAATCCCTTTTACATAATTATAAAGCGCTTATGTTATAAAGACATAACATTGTCTATATCAATTTTGATTAAACGACAACAATCAAGACAAAACTAGATCACAACGTGTACTATATTACAAAAAATATCCGTAGTTACTGTACTCAGAGCGAGTACAAATCAAAGTACTTACCATGCTGTTATGTACACACTATCAGCAGTTGCACTGCTGACCAGATTTCATACAACAACATAAAACACAGTGCTGAAAGCCGTCAAACATAATTTTATCATAACAAGATCAGTTGTCGGAACTGATGATAAGCACTCTTAAATCATGTACCTGCATATGAAATATTTCATTAAAAACCATAAAACATATATCATCATACTTTGCTATGCATTGTTTGGTCGTATATTGCAATAAATATTTGATTCGAACTTTATTTTACAGCCTATGGTTACCGTAAGTACATTTGTAAAACAGCAGTACTAAGTATCCTTATCTTATGTTACGCGTCGATTTGATTTTGAAAAGAGCTTTGTAGGGACTAAACGTGTTCAATCTTACCGTTAGAAATAGTGGCTAAGAAAAATCAAAAAAAAATCTGTCAAATCCTTCTTAATATACATATGCTCAGTCTTTAAGGCATTTCGTGTCCGTTTTGTAGTTACTGCAACATAATACTGCGATACACATTTCTTTCCTTTCAACGAACGTGTTTCTTCTTTCTTTTTCTTTTCTTCGTAGATTCCTCCACAACGGAGCACCCGTGTTACACGGTAGTAAAATATAGACCTTATATTTAAATTAAACATTAATATAATTTTGTTTCTTTGAAATAAACATAGTGCATTTTTACCTGTTTTTAAATCACAATTAAGATAGAATGTTATTTTGCAATGCAAACGTGAATCATTTGGCAAGGGGTGCCAAGAAATACGGAAACTTATATATAGAAATGACGAAATAGAAACCAACATGAAAATAAATTTTAGACAAAATATCCAGGACCAAGATCCAGATATAATAAATTTAAAGTAAACAAAATTTAAATGTGCCAACCATGATGAATAATAGTCTCAACAGTCATGAAAAAAACCCCAAGAAACTGAATCTTTTACTTTTCCACCCCTATGAAATAATATCAGATGTTACCTCCCTTCTTGACTGACTTTCTTATTTATTTGTAGATAATAAACAATGCACAGCCAAAGCTGATGTGGTGTTCTTGTTTGATGAGTCTGGTAGTATCAGTAACAACAATGCGAACAACTTTAACATCATGAAAACATTCATGAAGGATATTGTTGGAAAGTTTACATCGTTTGGTACCGCTGGCATGCAGGTCTCATCTGTGTGCTTCGCTGATCAAGTCAGGGAACATTTCCCGCTAAATAAATACGATACATTGCAGGAGATTCAAAGTGGTATTATGACGGACATTAATCCTAACAATGGCCCCGCCACAAAAATAGGAGCTGGTATAAAGGTAACATTAACAGTATATTGTTCTTTTTTTTCGAGGTTGTTTTAAGTGAACATGAAATGTTTGATAATTGATGCCTAGGATATAGCAATAAATCAAACTATTCTAAAATGGTAAAAAATTGAAATACCGTATTCTTTATAAAAACGAAGTCTGAATTTCAAAGTAACAAAATACAAAGAAGAATTTGTTAAGATTAAGGAAATAAACACAAACATGGAGAAATCCTGTGTCTTGCCCTATTCATTCATTGAACATTTGTCCAATAATTGATAAATGTATAAATGACCTTGAAACTACTTATTCCTAGAAAAATACCTTTCCGTGTTCATTAAATTTTGACAGTACTAACGATCTTTTTTCAGTACGTTAGACAAAACAGTTTTACATCAGCTAAAGGTGGAGTCAGAGCAGACGCAAGGAAAATTGTGATTGTCATAACAGATGGTCAAAACACGAGCCCACCGAATCCTCAAACCGAGGCTGCGCTACTCAAAGCCTTGCCACCGAATGGTGTAACAGTTATTGCCATTGGTGTGGGGTCTGGTGTTAACAACGATCAGTTGAAATCCATTGCTACACAGGATAGCTATGTTTTTACCACAAATAATTTCCAGGAGCTGTCCAATATACTTGATGCTGTAGTAGCTGTATCATGTGGAGGTAACGCATTCAATACTCACCATTCAGGGGCATCATAAATCGTTTCTGGTTTTAACGGATCTGGTTGCAATTCATTTATCTGTTGAATCATGCGTATCGAATAATAAGCTCTAGCTAATACACTGTTCGTATAAGTACAGCAAGTGTTTGATGGTCCTTCTATCTATCTAGTTGCAACTGACTTGTTTGGTTAATCATTAGATTCGATTTTAAGGCACTAAATATTTTTGTGTGTCCGCGGTTCGTATACGTACAGCAAGTTTTTGAAGGTCCGTATATCTATCTGGTTGCCACTGATTTGTCACTTTGCAATATATTCTGCAATTTGTCACTCAAAGACAACACATTTCCAAACATGTTCGTGCTGTCATTTAGAGGACAATAACACTTAACTCAGGAAAGAACCCTTTACAATATTATCCACACGAAATATGTAAATCATTTCTATAATCAGCATTGTTCTCCAAGTGTTCGACAGTTCATCTTATAAACTTTCTTTTGAAAACATCATTGATTGTTCTAATGTTTCTTACAGCTTGTTCCATCCAAACATCAAATCCCGGACAACCAGGACCACAAGGACCAAAAGGTGAACGAGGAGAAAACGGCTATCCGGGAGCTCAAGGAGCACCAGGTATATATATAATGTTTATATCGGAATACACGTTAGTAATGGGTATACACCATTAAGATAAAACATGACGACACACAAAATGCCATCTTAATCTTAGACCGTTGTCTGCAAAATATGTCCAGTTTTGCTATGCCCCGAATCTAGAAAAGAACTTAAATAAATTCGGTAAAGAGAATTTTAATTTCGTCACCAGATTCCCCAATGGCAAAAACTTATTTAAAAAAAATACAAAATTTACGAGGAATTCGAGTTTTGCCTAAACATTTGTTGAATCAGTATCGTTTGTCCCTGATTGCTTGATAGTTTTTGAATAATATCGATTACACTTCTGTCACTTTCAGACATCACCAAAATGAAATTTATCACCGGAATTGTACGTACATGAGCCGCATGACGGGACGTTTTTTGCCTTGACACTGTCAGTTTTTCTTCGACTTATGAGTTGTTTGATGTCTCTTTGGTATCTTCCGGATCTTTTTTATTCGGGACCTTTGCCATTTCTTCAATCTACATAAGAAATTGAAAGACAGAAATTTAACCGCACGCGCTGCTCGCTCAACAATCAGATTATGAACGTTATAAACTATTTTTTAACGCGGTGATTTCAAAATAAACTGATTTACAGCAATCATCAATGTCTATTTCTGTACTCCCTTCTTATAGGTAATAAAGGCATGAAAGGTGACACAGGAGATCAAGGCATGCAAGGAAACAAAGGAATGCCGGGAGATCCTGGTAGAGATGGTACACCTGGAGGACCAGGCCAACGAGGTCAGCCTGGACCAAGAGGTGAAACTGGTAGTAAAGGAATTAGAGGCACAGATGGAACACCAGGTATAAAGCATACATGACACTTTTGTAACAAATAAGAAACACGTCTTTGTAAAGTGCATTGCAAATAAAATGCAAAGTAGCGAATGTGCCTTATTGACAATAATAGCATTTTTTCAAAATTAATGGAAATAGCATTTCTTTTGTACAGATATTAATAAAAAAGTTTACAGCGGAAATACATGCACCCTAACTTGATCATCACTTTCTATTTGGAAGTTCCCTTTTTTTAAGTTAATAAGTCTGGGCTTAACATATTACCCTGGACACCATGTCATACCTTCGGGTAGGTTTCGAATGGTTGGTTTTTATATTAGAAACCCCTTAAACTGCATTTAGTATTTATCTTTGTGTCCCTTTTGGTTCGATTTTTTACTAGAATTGTTTTTGTGAACTGAATTGTATGCAATTTTTCATTTTTTGCACCATTTACATATTTTTATTGCGTATATTATCAACGTTTTTGACAGAAGTCGTTCAAAAACCATTTTGAAAATTTTGTGAATAATACTTACAATTAGATAATAATTTTGAAAAAAAATAGAATTTGGTATTATCGCATTTTATTTCCTTTTAAGAGGGAAATGTTTGTACATGTATATCAGTGTCCTGAATTAAAATTAAAAAAACAATTAATATCAGCTGGAATATTAAAGTCTATTGTTGACACATACGCATGTATGATTCCCCGGTTCCTCCTTGAGAAAATAAAGTCTCATAGAAGTTATATGATCTGCACAACATTTAACATTTTTCAAAGTTAGTTCAATTGCATCATTTTAAAAATGGCTATGATTTGAAGCTTGGCACAAACATACAGGTAAAAAAACTATAAAAGGGGCTAGGGGAACAAAGATCTATGGTATTAATTAAAATACCAGTCTCATAAAAAAAACCACTTAAATTGATCATTAGCAATTGAACATGGTATAAATTAAAAAACTAGTCTAAAAAACACTATAATTGATCATGGTATGAAGAAATGGCGAGAATTTTTGATCCATTCCTATGTTAACTGCATGATATTTTCTTTTGATACCTTTTCTAATAAGAAATAGATAGCCCTAGACAAAAACTATATATATTAAATACTTATAACAAATATTGATAGGAACTGCAGGACGAGACGGTAATCCAGGACCTCAAGGTATTCCAGGCGATCCAGGTATGACGGGAGGGAAAGGTCCAACGGGTAACAGAGGTGACCCAGGAAAACAGGGTCCAGTAGGAAACCAAGGTCCAGATGGTAAAAAAGGAGAAAAGGGAGGACAAGGAAATGCAGGTCCCACGGGTAAGCCCGGTAACAAGGGAGAAACTGGTGATAAAGGCGAAACTGGAAGTAAAGGGGAAGCTGGGGACAAAGGAGCAGATGGGGCTACTGGAGAGGATGGCGCAAAAGGAGAAAAGGGAGATAAAGGAGATGTCGGGGAACAAGGACAAAACGGGGGAGCAGGTAAGAAAATAATTATGTTTTTAGTTTGTGTAAAACAGACTTTGGTGAATTGTTCTTTGCAATGAGAGTAAAATTGAGAATGGAAATGGGGAATGTGTCAAAGAGACAACAACCCGACAAAAGAGCAGAAAACAGCCCAAGGCCACCAATGGGTCTTCAACACAGCGAGAAAATCCGGCACCCGAAGGCGGGCTTCACCTGGCCCCTAAACAAAAATATGTACTAGTTCAGTGAAAATGACTTCACACTAAACTCCGAAACATATAAATGAACTAAAATTTAAAAAAAAAAACATACAAGACTAACAAAGGCCAGAGGCTCCTAACTAGGGACAGACGCAAAAATGCGGCGGGGTTAAACATGTTTTGTGAGATCTCAACCCTCCCACTATACATCTAGCCAATGTAGAACAAAGTAACCTACTAGTATTTAAATTCTATAAACAGTTTAGTTTTAAAATTAAAAAAATGTTTATCATATTGTAATAATTTGTCCTGAATTCCGTTGCAATTCATTATTTGTTATTCAGACACCATTAAAGTCAGAGCCACATTCCTTTTTCTTATTTTTTTTTTTATAAAACTATAAACTAGAATTTTTTTTTGAAAAATATACAAAGTGTTGAGATAAAACGTCAACCATCAAGTGTAAATATTCAAATTATTTTATATAATAAGGCGACCAAGGAGAACAAGGAAAAACTGGAGAAAAGGGCGAAAAGGGAGAAACAGGAGACGAAGGCGCAGATGGACAAAAAGGCGAAACCGGTGATCCTGGAGAAAAGGGTTCAAACGGCGCAAAAGGTGAACAAGGAGACAAAGGTTCTGCCGGGAAGCCAGGCGAAAAAGGTATGCCAGGTGAAATAGGTGAAAAAGGCGACAAAGGCGACACAGGCGATCAAGGACAAAAAGGAATGGTTGGGAATAATGGCAAGAAAGGTGCAATTGGCGATCCTGGTGAACAAGGTCAAAAAGGAGGACAAGGAATAGATGGTAATAAAGGAGCACAGGGAGATAAAGGTATGTTACTTTTAACTGAAAGACCTAATTAAAACATGTATAACGACATGAACAGGTTTTGAATAATTTATGAAGTAAATGTCCGATTTAAAGGCATGTAACAGATCCGCTTTAGGTATGAAGACCATGCTGCTTAAGATAGCATACGATACATATTTCAATGTTAACTTATTCAAAGTTAATTTGTTTTATGTAAATAATGAGGGTACTGATGGGGGTCCTTAATTTATTTATTCTTTTTAATTTGTTTATCAATTTTTCTCTATTCTTTATTTATTTTATTCATTATTCTCTATTCTTTATATTTCAGCACTCCATTAAACTCTATTTTTTATTTATTTTATCCATTATTCTCTTTTATTTATTTTTTTGAACTATTTCTCTCTATTCTTTACGTTTTGGCATACATGTATTTGTCTCTATTCTTATATCTGTTTCTAATTATTCTACACGTTTTGCCCATAATCTCAATTCTGTAAATCCCACCTAGACTCTCATGTATTGTTTTAAAACGCATTTAACCTTTGATTTTTTGGTGTTTTAAAAGGATTCCATTTTTTATCTTCATTTCGTTATTCTATTTCAAAAGGATATGAGAAGAGGGTCTGGATTTTGTTTTTAAGGGGAGTGTATGTTTCTTATTTCAATTCGAAGCAACAATAAAGGCTTGACGCATATGCAAGTACATTTTAGTATGTCTGAGATGTGATATTTTGTAACAAAACTTTGATCTGCAGTTAAAAAAAATAGTCCTAATTTTGATTGAACTTTTATTTATTTTTATTATTGCAACATACATTTTGTAATTCAATAAAAAAAATCATGAGAAATCAGATCAGGTCGTATATGTAAATATTTAAGGAGACGGTATGGTAAGACCACTTTTTTGACCCTTTGAATTCGAAAACAAAAATCCTAATAAATCTGTAAAAAAACGTACTTCATAATATTTTGCATAAGGACTTCTTTGTTGCATTTTGTTAAAAATTTTAAAAACTATTAAAATAGCCCCAATTGTTTAGTATAATTTGTTATAGGTGACACTGGAATGAAAGGGGAAACAGGAAACAAAGGAGATGTTGGAGATGCCGGAGCACCAGGCTTGCCAGGTGATAAAGGTCAAAAAGGAAGCAAAGGAGACCAAGGAGACCAAGGTAAACAAGGCGAAATAGGTTCAACAGGAGACCCAGGTGAACGAGGACTCAAAGGACCAACTGGAGACAAAGGTGAGAAAGGAGATAAAGGAGACCAAGGAGATATAGGTCCAGCGGGTGAAAAAGGTGTAAAGGGTGATGATGGTAACAAAGGAGCAGATGGGATGCCTGGAGCCGATGGGAAACAAGGATCTCAAGGAGAGAAAGGATTACATGGCGATAAAGGAATGACAGGTGACAAAGGTCGCCCTGGTGACGATGGTAAAACAGGAGAACAGGGACCAGTAGGACCAAAGGGAATGACAGGAGATACAGGACCACAAGGACCAATAGGTACAAACTATTTTTATATATATATAATTAAGAAGAACATGATTATTGAGTATTATTTTGATATTAAAAGGATCTTTTTTGGGGGGAATTTAAAATACAAATTATTTTTTTGTAATAGTACAATGGAAGTAAACGAAGCCATTTTATCCAATTTTAATACACTGGTATAAAAAATTACTGACTGACAGACGCGATGGAGCGTTTACGTAACCTGCTGCCGCCTTCGGCCATGCTAATTAATAGACCTGTGACAGTCTATAATTCATATTTAATAAAAATAAATAACCTTTGAGATCTTGTTACTTTACAATGCACTTTAGTATTCTGTATAGTATTTGCCTTCTTGCAACCTCAGTACTTTTAGATTTAGGATTGTTGTACTTCTTCGTACGTATGAAGTATATAACAATGTATATATACCTTTTTGAATTTGTTTGTGAAGTATTTGTTTGATTCCGTCTCCAAATCAAAATATGTAACAGCAAAACGTGGAAATTCACACTAGTGTTACTCCCATACATAAATACTGTACTTATTAAACAAATAAACAGAGGGATCATGCATCATCATTTCTGTCTTCTGATAAAAACAAATCACAAAATATCCATTTTAGTAATACATCTAATGTAGTCAACCATATATCATGCCACACTGGTGCATGCCTCTTTGCAAAAGCATGCAAAAAAATTTAGGTCCACATCTAAACACTAATTTGATTTATATCCACTAACAGGTAACCCTGGAACGAAAGGCGACCAAGGCGAAAAAGGCGACAAAGGTGAAAAGGGCGACAAAGGTGATAAAGGAGACGATGGAAAGAAAGGTGGGTAAAATAAATTCGATATACAGTCAACAAACAAATTTTTTGCGGATATTTTTTTCGCGCTCTTTTTTTTCTAGGCGACTTTAAGTCTAGTTTCTTACCTTTAAAAGAGAAGATACATTTTTTAAGTGAACGCAAGGACATATATTCGCATTTCATATCTACTCGTGAATGTATCTTAAATAAATCGCACGCAAATAGTAGATGATTATTAGTGATACTGCTTTTATAAGGTGTGCTACTGAGAAACAAAGGTTAGAGGTTAAGCTGTTATTTAACGAAAGTCGATTCAAATTAAAAAAATATAGACTTATCGGCGTGTTTGTACTTTCATGTGTAACACGACGGGTGCCACATGTCGAGCAGGATCTGTTTACCTTTCCGGAGCACCTTTGATAATCCCCGGTTGGGGTTCGTTTTGCTCAGTCTTTAGTTTTCTATGTTCAGTATGTTGTGTTTTGTATACTGTTGGTCATTTGGTCTTTTTCGTTTTTTGTTATGGCGTTGTCATTTTATTTTCAACTTACGAGTTTGAATGCCCCTGTGATATCTTTCTCCTCTCTATCAATGAATTTGTCATTAGCAACAATCAGTCAATAATTTGAATTGTAATATTGATACGTATAGGGTCAGACGGTGGCCAAGGAAAACAGGGAGAAATGGGCAAAACCGGAGAACGAGGAGCAAAAGGAGACCAAGGACCAGATGGAAAACAAGGTATTAAAGGAATGAAGGGACCAGATGGAGACAAAGGTCCAGTTGGCGACCAAGGTGCACACGGAGAAAAAGGAGCACAAGGTGACACAGGAAAAGCTGGAGAGCAAGGGGTTGTAGGTGATCAAGGACCAGTCGGTACAGTGGGACCGAAAGGACCACATGGTATGTAAATTAGATATAAACGTTTGTTGCTGGTTAGATATTAATATTTCTCTTAATGATTTGTATTTACTTTCGTTTTAATTCTAACGAACCCCCTTTATTTTCATGTATTTGTAAGCATGCATATACTTATTTGTAAGCATTCATTTGTCATATATTGTCAACTATCAATTATAGTATATTTTACGTGTGTACGTTCATTTTCATTTATTCCTAAATCCACAGTCATGCAAGAAAATAAAAAAAAATATAATGGAAGTGAATAGAATAAGTATATTTTCAAGACTTTTACAAGTAAGTTCGTTTATATTTCAATTATTCAATTGAAAGCTAATATTTCAACAAAATATTTTATTAATAGGTGATCCAGGAAAAGATGGACAAAAAGGTATGGGTGTGTTTAGTTAACAATGTATAAATATCATTCATGAACAATCAATAAGTACAGATTATCGAGTTTTCTGTCCAATTAAATGCTATTTTTTCTGACAAGTGAGCGAGGCTAACCAGTCAAAATGATTGACAATGTGTCAGATGGCTGATATCTTATGGTATCTCTACGGATATTTTTTTTCATCATACTAATTACTGGTAAATTTGTGGCCAACATACGACATTTTTACTTTACCAGAAGTTTACTTGATAAGTCTTCCTTTCTGATTGGGCCATTGCTGATATACTCAACTCCCAACAAAACAAATCGTGATACGAGAATAACGGATCACCTGAGCCGAGGGATATAGGCGCAGGGAAGATGTTTTTAATAGAATAACTTTTGTAGAGACATGGAATAAAACAGACGAAAAAAAAAAAAAAAAACACATCAGAAAGTTAATAACAAAGTGAAACTAAAAAAAAAAAGTAATCAAACAAAACACACAAAATCAAAACACCCCACCCAATTACGAACAAAAGAAAGAAAAATAATCTTTCAAACACGCCAAAATATTTATTTGGAAAAGATTGACCATGGTGTATCAATGTAGAACACATAATCCAAACACATTCTTAACAAAAACAAAATCTACAGAGCAATGCGTTTATTGATCTTTTCTTAACAAAACCACAGTGAGGCCTTCAACATGGAGAAAAAGTACACATCTAACTGCTAGTTCAAGACGTCCGACTGTAACACAATAGAACAAAAATAAAAACTGTCCACTTTTTAATTTACATTAACTTTATTCTTATTGACTGTACAGAAATAAGATCCCACAAGGAAACAAGAACCAGATAGATTTTCTTGTTCTTATCTTCTTCTGATGAAGATGTGTATTAAGTTAATAATGTCTCCTAGTTTTTTTATTTTACAATGTGTTTTTCATACAGGAGAAACAGGAGCACTAGGGAAGAAAGGAGAAAAGGGAGATAAAGGAGACATTGGAGAACAAGGACCCCAGGGACCAGCAGGAACGAAAGGTAGTTTACATTTAAAGTTATTATAGTAAAAAACAAACCAAAACGAATCTTAAAAGTTGTACTTCAATCAATATTTATTTTGAATTCAGTTATTATAGCAAGTTCTATGAAAATATCATACACAATATCATAATTACTTTGTTTTGGTCGTCCAGTTAGAAAATGTTTTGCGCACAATTGAATATAGTTCAACAAAATATAAAAAATAAATGAAGAGATTTGGTATAATTTCCAATGGCATAACTATTCAACATTAGTTCCTATGAAGCGGATTTAGGCAACTAAAGGTCACCGTACGGTCTTCAACAATGGACAAAACCCAAACATTTCAGTAAGCTATAAAAAAACGACATCACAAAATGTGAAACAGTATATTTATCATGACATATGTTTAATATTCTTAAGCCTTTTAATGAAAATTTCTCAAATAGTCCTTAGATAAATATCCAAATCAATGCACTATGAACTGTTGAATAATTCAGGAATGACTGGTGACCAAGGCGGTAAAGGTATGATTGGTGACAAAGGAAAGCCCGGAACAATGGGACCAAATGGAGCCCCAGGAGAAAAAGGTCACGAAGGGGATAAAGGATTACCAGGCGATATAGGACCACAGGGACCAACAGGCGCACCAGGAGAGAACGGAATTGATGGAGGAAAAGGACCAGATGGCAATCCAGGACCAATTGGACCAAAGGGTAAGAGAAATAAATTAGTCCCCGTAGTCTCGGTATTGATTTCGAAAAGTTTAAGATTGGAACATACAATCTTTAACTGAGAATTTTAACGTGAAAACTCATTCTTTTATACAATAGATACAATGAAATCAAACGATATACTACACTACAGTCAGATGGGTTAGATAATATGATATAGAACTATGAGATTTTTTTATCTGTTTTTTTTAATGCTCTGCCAATTTGATAATATATATGTTTAAATTTATTTTTTTCTTAATCAAAATCTTTATGAAATAAATTAAGGAAATGAAATGGAATGTGGAAAAACACAAATTAATCTTGACCATATTTTTGAATATAGTTAGTCCACAGTTCTGATTTAACGTGTAACTCACTGATTTTACCATGATCATTTCATAGGTGAACAAGGGGACCAAGGACCAAAAGGAATCCCTGGCGACAAAGGGGATCCAGGAGACCAAGGAGCTCATGGCAAACCTGGTGCTCAAGGAGAACAAGGTCTAGCTGGCCCGAAAGGACCTAAAGGTAGTTAAATTTTGTACATCGTAGTTGCATTGTTGTTCATCTTGTAGGTTTATATGTAGCAAACTGATGCGTGCACATTAAACGGAAATTAATATTTAATATAAAAAAAATCACATTTGAGAAGACATACGAAAATCAGTTTGGCCTTAGTATTACACTAACAAGCAAAACTATTTAAAGAAACTTCAGTGAACTTGTTTTTTACCAGTACTGGTTTGTATATACTTTATTTAATGCAAAATTAAAAAAAAAAACAATTGCTTATTTATTACTTTCCTCTGAATTTCCTATTGGGACGTCACGAAAAAGGCGACCATGCCTGATGACGTTACATAGAAAGAACACATCTTTTTGCATATCATTGGAAAAGAAGGATTAAGTTTTGTCTGTATATCGTAATACCATTAGAGAAACAGATTTTACCACCGAATCTCGTGCAATACGATATTTCTCTACTCTTGACAATTAAATTTTAAATATTTAAAACGCTTGGTGAATTTCGCATTTTAAAATTGAAAATTTAACTGTCTCGACTTGAGACATATTGTATCACACTTGATGCAGTGGTAGAATCTATATATATATACATCACTGAAGAGACATTAATTGTCGAAATCCGGATATGATGTACAAATTTTTGCACCTCATTTTTGCGGTATACCATCTTTTCCGCAAGTTTATTGTTTTCTGTTGTTTGGTATTAAATTTATAATTAAGATCCATTTTGTTACATCTTGTGACACGTTTATTTGGCAATCGCCATGGCAGTCAGCAGGGTTTAAGAACATCAGTTGTTCGACTTGTAAGTCAAATGTGTTTTGTTAAAATATACTTTTTCACTTTTTGGTCTTTTGAAAAATGTTGTTTGTGATGTATTTAGACCCCTCTACCAAGAAATTTGTTCTGCATGCAAACGTATAAAATTGCGGTTTTTTACCAGTGCAATCATAGATTTTAACGTTGTTTTCAATTTAGACTTGTTTATATTTTTTCGTTTGGGCTTGTATTATATTTTCCTTGGGGTTTATATGATCCGTTCATCCTATTTCGACTCTTCAAAATTCAAGAGTCTATCCTACATTGAGGTTAATTATATGGCCTTCCAAATACCGTTTCGATTCTTAACATCACTTAAGAGACATTAATTCTCGAAATCCGGATATGGTGTACAAATTTGTGCACCTCATGTTTGCGGTATACCATCTTTCTCGCAAGTTTATTGTTTTCTGTTCTTTGGTATTAAATTTATAATTAACATCCATTTTGTTACATCTTGTGATACGTTTTTTTTGGCAATCGCCAGGGCAGTCAGCAGGGTTTAAGAACATCAGTTCTTCGACCTGTTAGTCAAATGCGTTTTGTTTAAATATATTTTTTCACTTTTTGGTCTTTTGGAAAATGTTGTTTGTTCTGTATTTATACCCCTCTACCAAGAAATTTGTTTTGCATGCACACGTATAAAAATTGCGGTTTTTATCCAACGCAATCATAAGTTTGAACGTTGTTTTCAATTTAGACTTGTATATATACATATATAGACAGAGATACAGATAAATGTTTAATTAATCTATATAACTCGTTCCTTAGGCGATACTGGAATGAAAGGACAAACAGGAGATAAAGGCGCGGATGGTAAGAATGGAGTCGATGGACAGAAAGGGCCAGCTGGTGACGCAGGAGAAAAAGGACAGCAGGGAAAACAAGGTCCTGACGGACTTCAAGGACCAACGGGACCAAAAGGAAATGACGGTATGAAGGGAATGAAAGGTAGCAAAGGTGACAAAGGAGACCATGGCGATAAAGGTGTTCACGGAGACAAAGGTGCTGATGGTATGAAAGGTCAAAAGGGCGATAAGGGAGTAATTGGCGATAAAGGTATGAAAGGAGGTGATGGAAAAGATGGGCAAAAAGGAGCTAAAGGCGATACAGGTGACAAAGGAATAAAAGGAGACACTGGCAACAAAGGACAAGACGGTATGAAAGGAGCGGTCGGAAATAAAGGAGACAAGGGAGAAACAGGAAGCAAAGGTATGCCTGGTGCTAAAGGAATGACCGGAAACAAGGGAGTCCAGGGAGACGTTGGTGGCAAAGGAGAAACTGGCGACAAAGGCATGAAAGGAGCAGGTGGTGATCAAGGAGCACAGGGAATAAAAGGTATACGTTTTATACCGATCGATTTTGATTGTTTTGCCAAGCTTTTGTTATTGGCTTCTTTCTTACTGAGTTTTCCTGTATATCTCCTTTACTTAATGTTGGCTATATATACATGACCTAAGTGATAGAATAAGGAAATATAAAACAAAACGAAAATAATTATCCCTACAACGATGCGTTAGTGTTAAAATATATCAAATAATTTAATAAGTAAGAATCATTTTGATATATTTATTTGTAAATGAGCAAGTTTGTATATGTATGAAGAACACATAAAAAAAATCTTTTGTATTTCTAATTTCATGAAAAAGTTGAAGTCCGAAAACTTATTGTTTAAGGGTTTAAGAATTTTGAAATGAAAACACTATTCTCTTATGACATTTTTCAAATATTATCCATATAATAGAAAAACAAAGGATATGGAGTATCCATTTATGACATAAAATCAGAACACGCACAGCAAAGAAAGAAAAGAAAAAAACAAACTTAAAAAAGAAAAGGACCATGTGGTCTTTTTTATTTACAGTAAAAATTCTGAACTAATGAAATATAGTTTGTGTCACTTTGAAATAGTCCCACGTTTCCATGGTATAATCTCTCATACAAGAGCTTATCTCGTGGTTATAATTATTAATCCAAGCCTTTTATACATATTATATAAATATAAACCCTAACACATCTGAATATGTCATCTACAATGTATTTTCCTTTCTGAGGGACGTCAACAGTTCATTAACCATTATATAAAAGAACATAATTATTACAATTATACAATGGTTTTGCTTCTAACTATATCTAACTTATCTATATAATTGAGGAATTGGAGGAAAGAATGTATCAGTTCAGAAATGCAATCCTGTCATCGTAAATTACCTTGCGCAGTCTGAGTATCCTCGTCACGTGATCCTCATAAACTACACTTTAACCAATCAGAAAGCCCAGAAGTATGACATTACCACAATGTAACACTTTTACACTTCGTTTAGATATTCACAATCGATTATTCTATTTTCATAGGGGATACAGGTGATGCTGGCAAAGATGGTTCAAATGGTGCGAAGGGGATGACTGGAGAAACAGGAGAAAAAGGCGAAAAAGGAGAAAAAGGACACACCGGCGATACTGGAGAAAAGGGAATGAAAGGTCATAAAGGTGACAAAGGAGACAAAGGAGAAGCTGGTGCAGACGGTGAGTACATACCAATATTGTATAAAAATCAATTAAATTAAGTTCAAATCGAGTACATACAGACAGATTTGCATACAAATCGGTAAATCATTTTTTGTCTGATTAACAGAAAAAATTGTTATTTATAGACCAGGAAAATAAAGGGATATGCCGACAATAAATCACAAGAGAGAGAACGAGATTCCTTTAGTTCTTCGTTCGCCACACGTAGAGAGAGAACGAGATTCCTTTAGTTCTTCGTTCGCCACACGTTCCGTTGATTGGTTCAGTTTTTCGTAACTTGTTTCTTCCAACTTAAACAGCTACTAAAATGATTCAAATTGAATGAAACTTTTCTTTGATGGACAACTCTTAATATCTCCGTAGGACAAGGAAAATAAATTTACAATAGTAGATAATGTTATTAAAAAAATAATCTCTTCTCAGCAGTTTTTTTCTTTATGGACAACATGTTTATTCGTTTGAAACGTTTGGTAAAATAGATTTTTGCAATGATTTATACATGAGTACAGCCTTACTTCATTATAAACTTGTCATATCCAAGGACAGTTTACTCTTATTTCAAACGTATATATTTAGGCAAGGACGGTAAACATGGTCATAAAGGTATGAAAGGAGACAAAGGTGAAAAAGGAGAAAAGGGACACAAAGGTGACCATGGTGACAAAGGGTTGAAAGGTCACAAAGGAGATGCAGGTCATAAAGGCAAACAGGGCGAAAAGGGTTCGACTGGAGATAAGGGTCCAAAAGGTGACAAAGGTCATACTGGAGACAAGGGATTGAAAGGTGACCAAGGTGACAAAGGAGACAATGGCGACAAAGGAATTATTGGAGATATGGGACCTAAAGGTTAGGACTGAACTTTGAATACATGTGTACAGAATGCTTCCAAATGTTAATTAAAAGAACGCAAACAAAAATTATTTAAATCAGAACAAAATCTGAAATAAAAATTAATAACTGATCCATTCATGAATAACATGATATAACAAATAAGGATATATAGCATGATTGACAATGACAAAACTATTCAACAAAGACCAAAGGCCAAGAATGTAAAACAAATACAACCATATTCAACAAAGAGCAAAACCACGATTAATAGATATTTACATAAAGATTTTGTATAAGTTTTGACGAATCACACCTTTTGATGAATCACATCTTTTGATGAATCACATCTTTTGATGAACCACATCTTTTGATGAATCACACCTTTTGATGAATCACATCTTTTGATGAATCACATCTTTTGACGAATCACATCATGAATCACACCTTTTGATGAATCACATCTTTTGATGAATCACATCATGAATCACACCTTTTGATGAATCACATCTTTTGATGAATCACATCTTTTGACGAATCACATCTTTTGATGAATGCAATCTCTGGCTTCTAAATGTTTAGGTTTGGACGTTCCTGATGAAGGTAACTCCAGAAAAAGGATTCGGATACAGGAAATTTAATAAGTCTTATTTCCATTTACGTCTATTGTTTACTTGCGGAAAATAAGATACAAAATTATGTAAGGTGTATATAAAAAATATACTGACATCCTTACATTAGAAACATTGCCACAATTAAAGCACATTAAAAGATCATAACACCGTAAAATGTAAATATGGTTAATTGATATATTTTTTTTTTGTGTTTGCATTTTGCATTTTGTTATTTGTTTATTTTTTCTTTTTCGTTTTGTTCTCGAAACTGTTCATATAAAAAACCCTACCGATGCCTCAATTTTTCCAAATTTTCATTTAAATACAATCCATAGCTGTTAATTTTATTTTCAAATCTTTACCTTTTTATTGCAGGTTTTATCAAGGTGATATTTGAATTTCCACAAATAGGTAAGTTAAAGGCATTATTATATATCTTGTTTTCAATCTACATATGAGGGGCCTGATGGGGGGGGGGGGGGGGGGGGGGTCTCATCACGATTCACGAGTTGATTTTTTTGTCAATCACGATTCACAGAAAATAAATTTCCATGATCAAGGATCACGAAAATGTAGAAAAACGGATTACGATAGCGAAAATGCGCCGATCACGAAGAACGAAAATAACCCATCAGGCCCCTCACATATGATACAGCCAGTGCTGACTGTACAAGGAAGTTTATGTTTTAAGATTATCATTGCTACACTTTCTAGACAATATATTTACTAAATACCCGTTTGCAAACTGTCACATTCGCAATATTCTAATTTACCTTTGAACTTGATGTTCTCTCAAATAAATGTATGGGCTTATAAGAGAAATTCAATATTCAACATTTGAAATAATAAATACACACTCATTTCTGAGTTGACATTATTTATGTCTTTCATGCATGCGCCACTAGTTTGCTTTGGTTTACTGTTTACGATTAAAAGGGGTTAAATTAAGCTCTAGAATATTATTATTTTTCAACTAAAATAAGATAATGTCTGAAAACCAAAAATACATTGGTTGTGTAAGATTATCATTTTATCAAATAATTGTATATCATAACAAATTGTAGTTAAAGTTAAAAACTCTTTTCCATTTTGTATAGGATATGCCCCTGCACCACCAAAATATCCAACAGGGGGAACAGTGATCAAGGTAAGAACGTTATTATGTCATCCAGTGTCGATCAGAACATAATTATGTCATCAACGGTCAATCAAACCACTGTTATGACACCAACGGTCGATTTTAACATTATAATGTCACCGACGGACGTTCAAACCATTAATATGTCACCAATGGTCAATCTAAACATTATAATGTCACTGTCAGCCAATCAAACATAACTATTTTCACCGCCAGCCAATCAAACCATTATTATGTCAACAACGGCCGATCAAAACATTGTTATGTCACCGTCAGCGAATAAATCCTGTAATATGTCACCGAGAGCAGATCAAGTTAGTTCCTTATACAAAAAAAAAACTTGTTTATGAAAATATCAAAGAAAATTCAGAATAGCAAACGTAGCTAGAAAATAAAGAACATTAAAAATAATAATAATCATAATAACGATAATAATAATGATAATGATAATAATAATAATAATAATAATAATAATTATAATTATAATATACTATATGCCATGTACAAAAGGAGTTGTAATGTTTTAAATTTTATGCAGCCTAATATTTTTAAGCGAATTGTTTTCAAGTGATGATACTACTATCGTTGAATTATTTGTGTGTGTGTCAGTGTATTATGGAAAATTTATTAGTGTAAACATATTTAATTATTCAATTCAAGTTAAATAATATAAACAATTTGGCATAAACATATTAATACAATTGAATAATTGATAGGATTCGGAAAGAAGCTTTTAACTCATTAATCTGTTTCCTAGATTTTATTGCAAATCTTTATTCGGATGTGTAGGCTAAAATAAAGTTTTGAAAACAACGATGTAATTAATTTCTATACAAGACTTGAGCTTTTGCCAATCCCGTATGTTTATGAAGTAATGATAGATACTGAAATATGTAATCGGAATCATTTAATGGTGTGAAAAGGTGTAATAGATTTTCCTTTTGGAATTTTGGGTCCTCAATGCTCTTCAAAGTTGTACTTTGTTTGGCCTTTTGAATATTTTTGACTCAAACTTCACGGATGAAACTTTCGACACAAAACGCGCGTGAAGCGAACACATTATAAGCATGGTACCTTTGGTGAGTTTTGATTTATACTTATGCCATATAGCACTGATAACAGATAAAACCTATCATTGTTTTTCTTTATTTTCAGACAAACTATGCACCAGCAAGCGCATCAACAGGAACACAAACAAGTACCAACACCGGAACAATGGTGCACGGTATTCAAACAAAGGTGACAGCCAAGGCATATTAAAAACACAGGAGATAAACACACAATATTTTATTTATACGTATTATTTGTTTAATAATAAACACAAAGTATATGTTTATGCTACGTTCTATTGTTTCTTGTGTATGTGCGTCCTATAATATTTTGAGTGAAGGATATCTGTCTACATCTACTCAAACCATTCTTAAAGTGTTTTTCTAGCTTTTATAGCACTGGGTTGATATCAGGTGGACACTCAGTCCCTGAGGGTATCATCAGCTCAGTAGTTAGTGCTTTTGTATTGACATGAATTGTTACATACCTTTCTGAAATCGTCAATTTATAAATCTATAAATTATTAAGGAACTAAGGTTTCAACTCCATCAGGCAAAGTTGACATTAAGTGGATGTGGTTATTACTTTAAGGTCATTTGTGATAATATAACCTATCACGTGTTTCGGTATTAATACATCCCTGTCTTTCAAATATTTGGCTTTGAGCTTTCCTGGTGAAGGTACACACAGAAAAGAGTTTCGGACCCATAAAGTTTTTTTTTTATTTTTACATGCTAACTAGCGTTCAACTAGTGAACATTAAAGTAAAAAACCCGGTCCTCCTAAATTATTTGTTGTTGATGACATTACCGAATATCACGTAAAACCAATTTACACTTGTCATGAGCAACATGGCAGATTCTATTGTAGGAGCAGAAACGGAAAGTATACCAGAGCACTTGAAAAACATCGGGAAGAAACACTCTACCAGCCGTGGCATCAACCCAGTGGTTGTAAAAAAACTCACCACTGATACCAGAATTAAAATTTGTACGCCAGACGCGCGTTTCGTCCACAAATGGCTCATCAGTGACGGTCGAATCAAAAAAGTTAAAAAGGCCAAATAAAGTAAAAAGAAGAAGAGCATTGATGACCAAAAATTCCTAAAAGTTTTGCAACATACAGCTAAGGTAGTTTATTCCTGGGTTAGAAAACCCTTCGTTTTTTCGAAAAATTTAAAGTTTTGTAAACAGTTAATTTATAATTATGACAATATCAATATAGTGCAGCGGAAAAATCTAAAAAGAGGCGTAGTTTAAGAGTTTAAAGCATCAAAAGAACACGCACATGGAAATGATTAAAAATGAAAGAATAAATGTTTAACTTTTATTTTGAAACATGCATTAAGAAAATCGTATGATGAAATTTCCGTAAAATTGCCCTTTTTTGCGTTATGTAGTGTTCAAAACAAAAATCACTGAAACACTAAAATGTTAATAATTACTACTTATCACAAAATCGCGACTATTTTTGAATGTACAAATAGAAACCTGAAGAAGTAAAATCAAGCTAACGATCGGTACAATTTAGGGGGGGGGGAAATTAACTGTTTTATGTTTTCTATACACGGCAAAGTCATCGGAAAACAGTAAACCTTCCTCCCAAAATGCACCGATTAAATGTTTTATTTTACTTCTTTTGGTTGCTCTTACTTGACTGGGTACCATTATATCCTACAACAGAGTAGGCAACCTGTTGAAAAATGATAAAAACTGGAGTCAAAAGTTGGTATTACGAAAATAATCTATTGTGGTCCGAACGTTTTATTCTTATTTAATCCTCAATCCTTTCAGTTCTATCACTGTGCAAGCCAGATTTCAATTAGCATTTTCACATTGAAATCGTTTATTTGAGATCGCTTTCAATGGTTATTTCTGTTTTTACACTATTCTATTATATTGTTGTTAATTTAATTGTTTTTTTGTTATTTGTGACAACCAGAGAGGTTATTACTATTGTTTTCTTTGATTTTGTACATTGTGTTTCAATAATCTTTAAAAAGTTATTCCGAATCTGTTGTGACAAATTGCCGGAAAAAGTCACATTTAAGTTATCCAATAGGGAAATCTTCTTTAGATTGGCATGAATGCATTATTGTCTAACTCAAAACCCAGAAGAAATATTTTCACTGACAATGGCAAAGTAAGATTTATTGAGGCTACTGAAGTATGGAGAGATAAGATATATTTGAAGATTGTAGAAGAGTTGCCTATCAATAATACCATTTCGGAAAAAAATGATGAAAAATACCATAGATCTGGATTTAGATTTAGAAATTGGTGATCCCAAAAATGCAATAAGTGAAAAACACATTTTACACACCGCTGCTAATATTTTAAGGCTTGATATACAAAGCCTTGATTAAGAAATGTTTGTTACCCGACGCCTTATGAATGTTCTATCTCGTTGTCAATTCAATCAATGCTACCAAACCTAAAATATAAATATAAAATAGATAGATTGCGAAAATGCATGTCGCTTACAGGAAGCATAGTTTCAATGAAAACGAATGTAATTACTTGATACATTACAAGCTCATGGGTTTTGCAGTTCATATGATGAGGTTAAGCGATATTTTACAAACCTATTAAGTCATGAATTTGAGTCATGAAAATGGCGTGTACGTTCCAAACGGTATCGTTAAGTTGTCGTCTGATGGTTGTCTTATCCAGGAAGAGCTGTATTCCAATTGCAGACTGAAATGACTGATTCAAGCTCTGTTGAAACAGATAAAAGTTAAAAGAGGTCAGGAAAAAATCTCTACCAGACAATGAATAGACTATGTCTTTTATGCACTGTTTACCATTAAAAAGCCAAAAGAGCGCCCTGAACCTCCTCGTCGAAATAATGCGTATAGTAACATAGTGTCTTGTTCCGAAAGCCAAAACAAAGTAAGAAAAACGATATGTTTCTTGATTGGGATTAATGTCCAAGTCTCAGATTCACGTCCGTGTCGTACACTTGTTACATATGCTCCAGTCTAATTGAGAACTGATAGAAAGGCTTTATGATCCGGAGGGAAAGTCCAAACGTTGCCATAACCACATGAACAGGTTGCGTGCTAAATTGGCCACTTGTAAAGATTCCAGCTCGGTCCGACTCCCCCCCTTGTAAAGCATCATTTAAATAACACGTCTTACGGTCTTCTTTCAAAACTAAATGCCATCATCTAATCTGAGCAACAGGCACAATATGCCTATCTATTTCAATTTCACATATCTTTTTTTATTATAAACAACTTTTCAACTGATTTTTATAGTTTTTTCGTATGTTGTGATGGTATACACCATTGTCCCAGGTTAGGTGCGGGTTGAGTGCTCACAAACACGTTTAGCATCCCCACATTATTTATGTGCCTGTACGAAGTCAGGAGCATGTATTTCAGTAGATGTTGGTTCATGTCTGTCATATTTGTTTTTCGTAAATTGTTTTGGTATAAATCAAAAGTCTTTAGTTTTCTCGATTGAATAGTTTCATATTTTTCTTGTCCGAGCCGGAGTCGGGTTTTTTT